GACTTCAGGGACAGCCCATGCTTCTCGTGTCCTCCTACCTTACCAACTACTTCTTACTCTCCTTCACAGACTCTTCCTTATCATCCTGAGCCCTACACATTGGTGCTGCTGAAGGCCCATCTGGATTTCTTCCATCCTGTATTCACACCCCCTTCCATGGCCATCTCCTCCAACTATCCCTCATTAATATCTAACCAGACATTGAAGCTTACACAAGAATAGAAGGCTGAGTCCAAATGAGAGAATATAATATAAAATAATATTATTAGAAATTCATAATATGCCTGATATATTTTCTTGGTTTATACATGGCTTTCTCCATACCCCTAGTTTCTCTTTCAAATTATAATATCCTGGTTTTAGTTTTTCCAGGTCTCCATGGCTGCACAACCCTGCCCCCCACCCCAGACATATCAGTCTTTATGTCAACCACTCATTTTTTTTTTTTCAAGATAACCCTTTTGAGTTACTTTCCCTTGCATGGGAACCCTGTCATCTTATATCTTGCCAAATCAAGTCAAAACACCCAAAGATATTTTTTGTTCATTTTTATTTTTTCAAATTATGGTAAAATACGCATAGAATTACCATCTTAAACTTTTTCTAAATATATAGTTTAATAGCATTCAGTACATTCACATTTTGTTGTGTAATTAATTTCCAGAACTCGTTTTATCTTGCGAAACTAAAATTTTGTATTCATTAAACAACTTCCATTTTCCCTAATCCTCAACACCTAAAAACCACTATTCAACTTTCCATCTCTATGAATTTGATTACTCTTGGTACTATGCAGGGCTTTTAAGCTGTTTTATAGTTTCCCTTCTTCCTGTGCCAAGATCAGCTAAGCTAAGTTCTGGTTTAAGTTCTACCCAAATACATTGCCAACTGCACCCTCTGGGCCTTTGCACATGAGTTTCGAATAGTTGAAACATTCTTCCTTCTCTTTTCCTATCTCAATCCTTCCCATTCTTGAAAGTGTTTGCTTCCTCCTTGAAATTTCATCCTACTCTTCATGTCCACACTAAACTCTCTTTTCTTGGAACTTATATTCCATTCACTGGAAATACCAGACATTTTGAATATTCTAGAAATTTGTCCATTTCGCTTAGATTGTCAAATTTGTTGCCATATAGTTGTTCATAGTAGTTGTTAATGATCTTTTGTATTTCCGTGGTGTTGGTTGTTACTTCTCCTCTTTCATTTCTGATTTTGTGTATTTGGGTTCTCTCTCTTTGTTTCTTGGTGAGTCTAGCTAAGGGTCCATCAGTCTTGTTTATCTTTTCGAAAAACCAGCTCTTTGTTTCATTGATCCTTTGAATTGTTTTTTTGGTCTCTATGTCATTTATTTCTGCTCTGATCTTTACTATTTCCTTCCTTCTACTTGCTCTGGGGTTTTCTTTTTGTTTGCTTTCTAATTCTTTAAGTTGTGAGGTTAGACAGTCAATTAGAAATTTTTCTTGTTTTTTGAGGTAGGCCTGTAGTGCTATGAACTTCCCTCTCAGAACTGCTTTCGCTGCATCCCATAGATTTTGTGTTGTTGTGTGTTCATTTTCATTGGTTTCCAGGAAGTTTTTAATTTCTTCCTTGATCTCCTCGGTGACCCATTCATTGTTTAATAACATGCTATTTAGCCTCCATGTGTTGAAATGTCTTTGCATGTTCTTGTTGCAATGGATTTCTAGTTTCATGCCATTGTGATCTGAGAAGATGCTTGATATGATTTCAATCTTCTTGAACGTGTAGAGATTTAGTTTGTGTCCTATTATGTGGTCTATCTTTGAGAATGTCCCATGTGCACTTGAGAAGAATGTGTATTCTGTACTTTTGGGGTGTAATTCTCTGTAGATATCTATTAAATCCATTTGGTCTAGTGCTTCATTTAGAGTCTCTATTTCCTTGCTAATTTTTTGCCTAGAGGATCTATCCAGTGCTGTCAACGGGGTGTTGAAGTCCCCTGCTATGATTGTATTGTTGTCGATTTCTCCTTGGAAGTCCTCCAGAAGATTTTTAATATATGTTGGTGCTCCTATATTGGGTGCATATATGTTTATCAAGGTTATATCTTCCTGTTGGATAGATCCTTTCAATATTATGTAGTGGCCTTCTTTGTCTCTAGTTATGGTCTTCATTTTGAAATCTATTTTATCAGATATGAGAATTGCTACCCCAGCTTTTTTTTGCTTTCCATTTGCTTGGAAAATTTTTTTCCATCCCTTCACTTTCAACCTATGTGAGTCTTTTGTTGAGAGGTGGGTCTCTTGTAAACAACATATAGATGAGTCAGGCTTTCTTATCCAATCAGCTACTCTGTGTCTTTTTATGGGAGCATTCAATCCATTTACGTTTAAGGTGATTATTGATATGTACTTATTTATTGCCATTTTTGTTTAGTGTGGTTCTATTTTTCTTCCCATTTCTACTGCTAATTACAGCAGTCCTTTTAACATTTCTTGCAATGCTGGTTTGGTGCTAATGTATTCCCTTAGCCTTTTTTTTTGTCTGGGAAGCTCTTTATTTGATCTTCTATTTTTTTTTTTTTTTATCCTCACCCGAGGACATTTTTTGTTCAGGTAGAGTGGGAGGGAGAGAGAGGGAGGGAGGGAGAGAGAGAGAGAGAGAGAGAGAGAGAGAGAGAAACATCGATGTGAAAGGGACACATCGAGTGGCTGCCACCCGCACGACCGACCAGGGCCGGGGACAAACTGCAACCAAGGTACATGCCCTTAGCGGGAACCGAACCCGGGTCTCTCAGGACCGCAGGCTGATGCTCTAACCGCTGAGCCAAACCGGCCAGGGCTGATCTTCTATTTTGAATGATAGCCTTGCTGGGTAGAGTAGTCTTGGATTCAGATTCTTGTTTTTCATGACTTTGATTACTTCATGCCATTCTCTTCTGGCCTGTAGTGTTTCTTGTGAGAAGTCAGCTGAGAGCCTTATGGGGTTCCCTTTGTAGGTAACCTGTTGCTTATCTCTTGCTGCTTTTAGGATTCTCTCTTTGTCTTTAATTTGTGGCATTTTAATTACTATGTGTCTTGGTGCGGGCCTGTTTGGGTTCTTCTTACTTGGGACTTTCTGTGCTTCTTGAACTTGAATGCCTTCTTCCTTCACCAAATTAGGGAAGTTTTCTCTCACTATTTTTTTGAATATATTCTCTATTCCTTGTTCATTTTCTTCTTCTTCGGGGACTCCTATAATGCGAATATTATTACGTTTCCAGTTGTCCCATAGTTCTCTTAAGCTGTCTTCCTGTTTTTTAATAGTTTTTTCCTTTTGTTTTTCTGATTGGTTGATTTTTTCTACCCTGTCTTCTAATTCACTGATCCGGTCCTCAGCTTCCCCTACTCTGCTTTTTAAACCTTCCAATGTGTTTTTCATTTCTGATACGTCATTTTTTATCTCTTCTTGTTGGTTTTTAATTTCCATTTGGCTTATTTTCAGTGTCTCTATGTCCTTACTCATGCTGTTCAGCTTCCTCAAGATCATGGCTCTGAATTCTAGCTCTGTTAACATGCCTAATTGCTCCATATTGATCTCATCTTTGGTGGAGGTCTCTTGCTCTTTCATTTGGCTTCTGTTTCTGTGTTTCACCATTTTGGCTATCACTGTAGGCTTTGGAGCCTGTCAAGTTTTCCCTGTGGGTGTTGGTGTTCTGCTGTTTGTGGCTCCCTCTCCTGGGTTTAGATGAGCGAGGGAGGACCCATGTTGAACACCACTGTCAAGTCTTACTTTCCTGATTAAAGTTGCCAGCCCAGGAAAGGTACTGTTGTCCTCTAGCTTTTTCCTGGAGGCTAGCAGTCTAGGTTACTTGATGAGTTTTGGGTTGTCAGTTGATTGAAAAGTTCCCTCAGGTTCTTAGCACAAGGGGATTTCCCGAGAGTGGGGCAGATGCTGGTTGTTAGTGAGCCTCAATTAGCACTTCAATGGCCCACAGGGTGGGGTTGGATCTCCAAGGGAGGGGCTGCTGCCTCTCTCAGAGCCCTGGGAAGGAGCAATGTGGCCACCGTCCTGAGTGGCTGCAGTTAGCCAAAGCTCTGAGCGCCCTCCAAACCCCGAGTGTCCCAACACAGTTCCAGTCCAGTCCGCCCTCCCTCTGCTGGAGCCCAAGGTGAGTGGCTGTGGCTGTTTCAGCCTCTGTCCCGGCTGCGCTGTGGAGCCGCCTGGGAGTGTAACCCGCGGGCGCCTCTCCCAGCTGAGGCCGCTGCCGAACTGCCGACCGTGGGCTCCCAGCCCCGTCTTGCGCCTTCGCAAGCCTACCGGGATGGAGTCAGTGTCCCTCGTTGTATGGTCCTCGCAAGCTGCTTTTCTGTTGGTTTTTCCCGTCGATTTGTCTGTGTTATAGTTGTAATTCCAGTTTGGTTCTGGGAGACGGTCTGTGTAGCTCCGTTCACTCTGCCGCCATTTTTCCTCCGCCCCCTGAATATTCTAATTCTCTAGCTGTTCTGTGCAAAATACCACTGCCTCCTCCAAAAATCCTGAACTTCAAATAAGGACCATGTTATATGTCCTTGTGCCTTACATCTAGAAAAGGTTGTAGATACAAGGCACACATTCAACAAATATTGAGATTATATAATAGATAATTTATACTTTCATAAAATTTTAAGACAATTTGAATCACTCTGCAGCATCAATGGGCAACTTCCATGAAGGCTTTTCAAGAAAACTTAGTTATATCCAGCAACTTTGTCTAATTTTTTAATCTGGTTGCTTAGATAAAGGTCTGCTCTAGCAAGGTTCCAGCAGAGTTAAAGTTATAAGGATGTACTCCTGAGATAAGCTGTCACAACCATCTCCCAGACTGTGCAGAAATTGCTTAAGTGAAATACAAATTTAGAATCAAGTCTATACTTCCCTATTCAATGCCTTTTACCCAGTCCACTCTTCCACACCAGTGGAAAGACCTAGTCAAGGAAGAATGATTAAAAAGTAGAGAGATTGGGAATTAGACCAAAGATGAACCAGGGGCAAGTCCCCTTTGGAATCATTTTCTCACTCACCTGTGTAAATAAACCTCCCTGGAGCTCCTTTGCAGAACTGTTTGGATTTATAAGATAAAGTCACTTCCACTACTCCAGGGATGTGCCGAGGAGGAGTCTGCACTCTGATGGCATGAGGAGTTATTAGCTGAGGAATGAATGGACAGAGAAATAAAACATCTATTATAGTATCACTGAGGATACTGACAACATGAGGATCTCCCACAACTACTCCCACCAGGGCAAACTGATGTAGTCATGGCACCCCAAATGCTCTGAGTGCTCTGTCCCTGTCTCCTACTTGTTTCTCTCTCACATCCTGGAATTTCCTCTCAACCTAACCAATGTAGGTCCTTTCCTTCCTACTAGCCCCGCTCAAGTCCCTCCCACCTCTTGTGCCCACCTCACCCCCATCCCTGTAATCATGCCCTCCCCCTAATTCCTACACTACTATGACCTCACATATTGATTTGGCATCTTCCACAGCATCATTAGTTATCCTTCTATAATGTGTCTTGGTAGTTTTATCATTATGAAAGTAGAACGTATTCACTTTAGAAAACTTGGAAATTACAGAAAATATATGAAAAAATATTAACATTGCATAAACTGAGACAATCATTATTAATTTTTGGTGTATTTCTAGTACTTTTCTAGGGATGTGTGTTATGCAATTAGATTATACATTTTCATACAATGTTGTTCTGATTTTTTTTCTATTTAGCATTATATCATAAATATGCACCCTTCTCCTAGTCTTTAGAATTTTTTCAAATAGTGTAATGATACTCCATCATCTATTTAGCCATTCTTTTATTACTCAATATCCAGGATATTCCTAATTTTTTATAATTATAAGTAATACTGCAATGAATATTTATCTTTTTAAGGTACCTGTGCCTGCAATAAATTGTGGTTTACATGTGGTTAATTTTTGGTGCTCTACTCATAGTAAGTACTCAACAATGTGCATTCATGCTGCTGATACAACAGGAATTACTAGTTTAAAACCCAGAGCAAAACAATCTTTGGGCACAAGAAAATCAGGAAAGCAAGTTGTCCTTGCCTACCTCGCTCCAAACAAGCATGGTCCCAAACACCACTTGGAGGCCATCAAAGAAATTGTCCCCGATGATGATGACCATGGCCCCTCCTGTGGTCCAGCCTTCACTTGGGCTAATGGCTTTGATGCAGGGGGTAGCTAAAAAGACAGAAAAGTCAGGTCTGCTCTTTGGTGGTTGAGGTTTGGAATTTGGGGAACTGCCTGCTCTTAAAAGCTGTTGGTCATTCTAAGAAGATCAAGTTGAGCTTTGCTGACTTGCCATCATTCCTTTTTTTTTTTTTTGCATTCATCTTTAGATAGAGCGGGATGGAGAGAGGGAGGAAGAGAGAGAGAGATACGTCGATGTGAGAGAGACACATCAAGTAGCCGCCACCCACACAACCCCAACCAGGGCCGGGGACAAACTGCAATCGAGGTACGTGCCCTTCGTGGGAACCGAACCCAGGACTCCCTGGTCCGCAGGCCGATGCTCCAACCACTGAGTCAAACTGGCCAGGGCTTGCCATCATTCCTTAATTGGTTGTTGGTTTTCACCAGGTCATTAAAGCCTAATGAGTTGACCACTATGTATGAAAACATGGAACACTTAGCTAATTGTGCAAAGGGTGTTTTTAGAACTTGTTATTTTCCCCCATATTTTTATAAGTTGACTACACTGGAAACGTGTAAATCCCTTTTCTCTTTCCACCTCCTCTGCACCAAGATGTTAAGATTTATAAGGCCTGCTAACATGCTACAGAGAGAAGGAGAAAGCTGAATCTGTCATAGGTGAAGGTTTTTTTCAGCTCTATCAAGAGACAATTTCTAATCACTTTCCTAACTTTGTAGGAAGGATTTTGCCCCTTCTTCCATATGTTTGAGGCCTCTGGACTTTACATCCCAACAGGAACCCAATATGGTTTTCAGGCCATAACTAAAGTCAATCCATCACTCCATTTCCAAAGCTGACAGGGTCAAAGGTGGAAGAGAACTTTGGCAGGACTCCAAAAACATGAGCCCCCTTTGAACAGCCAGTCAATCACATCCAATCAGTCAAAAGAAACTGGATGGGTTCCTAGTTCTGAACCCTGGGGTTTTCTTCTCCCCTTCAGTGCCCACTGTGGGAGAATTAACACCACTCCAAATTCTTTACTGATTCAATCATTTTCTTTCAGTTCATTAATTCCTATTTTAAATGATACAAGACACATTTTAAAGGGTGAGTTGGGGTGGGGGCTGGTGGGCAGTGTACAGCCAAACATCACACTAAAATAGTCCCTGATTTCACTACTCATGTAGTCCATGAGCTCCTGCACCAGTGAGCAGGGAGTGTGGAAGAAAAGAGAACTTGGGCGGGGTTTAGGTTTGTCAGTTATCTTCCTCAATATACTTAAATTTTTTAGACAAGCTGAAGTTTAACAGTTACCAGTATTTCTAATTACTTTAATGCACTTGGAAAACTACCCAGAGCAGACCATGATTTCTTCTAGTCCAAGCAAACAAAAATCAATTAGTGTCAGTTTCATTCTGCACATTGTTTTGTTTTGCCCACACTCTGTTTAAGGGCACATCTGACACTTATTCATACATGTCTGGCACTGTAATGTTCCTGTTTAACTAAGATGTCATAGGCCTACATTTGCCTTAAATACCTGCTTAGCAAAAATAAAACCACAGAACCAAATGGAACAGACTGAGGCATGGGGGCTCAAGCACTGCCAGGAGATGGGGGGGGGGTGGGCGGCCAACAGAGCAGGCAGGAGTCAGTGTTTACAATTTCACTTTAAAATCCACATGGTCTTGTGTACTTTCTACAATCCTACTCAGAGACATAAATTTGAAATTCAAACAAGGAAATTGTGGAGAATGTCATTTGTCTGCCTTTCTCGGCTCAGCCGCTGAGTGCCCTACCTTCTGCCGGGTCCAGTCTTCTGGCTCTCCGCCCATGCTTCGAGTTGTTATGAACAAACATGTTGTCGGAAACAGCCAGCACATGTCCATCCACATTCACTGTTGTTGACAACACAACCTGCATTTTTAATGTATAAAAAGGGTGGGGGGCAGGGGGTGGAGTTAGTTTCATATAAAGTAGTACATGTACCAGAATTCTGTTTGTCAGATTCCCATATGACTAACCAGAAATGGAACACGATTTGGGGACAGGGCCATGCTTTTGGTATTGCACCTCCTCCTATGATTATGGCAGAGCTTCATGGAAAAAGAGACCCTTTGTCCATGAGCTGTCATGTATTTGTGTTCAGACTATGTCCAGATGATAAAATGGGGAAAGTGGCTATCTGCCTGCTGGTTCTACAAATATATTTCTATATGGGAAGGCTTGGACAATCATTCCCAGCTGACCCTCGTGCTGTCCTCATAGCAAGGAGCTGATTGTGTGTGATGAGGAAGCTAAGATCTAAGCACCAGCTGGGAGGTCATTTCTTCAAGCTCAGAAATGGGTTCTAGCACCTGTGACATGTGCTAATGTAATGCTGGCCTGGAGGTGCTTCCTGGGGACTTGTTTATAGTGTCCCTGCCCACTAGAGAGCAGTGGCAGAGATGCTCAGACTTTGGTGAGAAGGTCAGGTTGCTGGAATCCAGCGTTGAGAAGGCAGGTCATTCAGCATCTAACCAGAAGAAGGGGAAGAGATGGGCATGGAGCAATGCAAAGCACGGATTTGAAGTCAGAAAAACTAAACTCAAATCCTACACCTGCTGCTTCCTAACTTGTAACTTTGGACAAATTACAAACCTTTTCAAATCTCTATGTTTCTTATCTGTAAAACATAAACAATGCCAATCCCTCAAGGGCTGAATGAGACAAAATAAGGATAAATACATGTAGAGCTTTTGATGTAGGGCCTGGATTAGTTCCCTTCCTAACTGCCTCACCACTGCCTTGTTCAACTAGTCAAGAGGACAAATGACATTACTCACTGAGCCTCTCTCATAGTCTAAGCTCTGGGAAACTCTCTAGAAAGAGGGACACGGGGACTAGAGACCAAAAGTTACAAGACATGATCCCTGCCCTCAAGGAGCTTACTTTCAAACTGGAGAAGCATGGCTAACACATAAAACAAGTAGGGCAAGGAATGAGATTCAATTGAATTCTCTGTGTGAGCTGCAGATCTGGAGTGTAGGAGGAGTTCACAGAGGGTATTGGCGAAGGTAGGAGTAGTAGGGACAGTGCAGCACAATTGAGTGGACCCAAAGTACCCTCCACCAATTTACTTGATCCAGCAATGCAAAGCACGGAAGATGAACCATCCTAGATATGAGTTTACTTGTCAGTTATGCACAGCAATTTTTTTTGAGAAAAGAACTTGTTATATACATATTCATGCATATGTATAGGCTATTTTTTCATCCTGAGGATATGTTTTTATTGATTTTTTTTTTTATCCTCACCTGAGGATATTTTTCTGTTTTTTGTTCAGGTAGAGTGGGAGGGAGAGAGAGGAAGAGAGAGAGAGAGAGAGAAACATTGACGTGAAAGGGACACATCGAGCGGCTGCCACCCTCATGACCAACCAGGGCCGGGGACAAACTGCAACCGAGGTATGCGCCCTCAGCGGGAACCAAACCCGGGTCTCTCTAGACCGCAGGCCAGCGCTCTAACCACTGAGAAAAACTGGCCAGGGCTGTTTTCATTGATTTTTTAGAGAGAGAGGAAGGGGAGGGGGGGAGAGAGAGAGAGAGATATAGATAGAGAGAGAAAGAAACATTGATGTAAGAAAATAACATTGATCAGTTGCCTCCTGTACAAGCCCCAACCAGGGATTAAAACTACAACCCATATATGTGCCCTGAGTGAAAATTGAGCCTGCAACCTTTTTGATGCACAGGACAGGGCATTCGTGCACATGTACAGACTTTTTGAGGAAAGGCATTGAATAGGTACATATACAAGGAGCTGTATTTGAAAAGGACTCTCTCTATCTGCTCCCAAGTTAACTTTTCTGATATTCTACTTGTAATTTTCTGCCATGTCTTCCTTGCTTATTAAATGAAGGGGGAAATTTGACCCTGCCTTAGCTCCTAATATGAAATAAGATTTATTAAATGGCACTTAAAAATTTTTACCGTGGATAATTTCAAGTAAACAAAATAAACAGAATAGTATAATGAATTCCATTTTAGGTGAAATTTACATGCATTGAAATGCACAAATCTTAGCTGCACAATTTTGAGAAATGGATACATGCAGATAATCCACACCATACCAGGATTTTGAATATTTCCATCACCCCAGAAAGTTATCTTAGTCAACCCTACCCACTGTGCCCCTTCCTGAGGCAACACTCTTCTGATTTTTTTTTACCTTACATAAAGTTTTAGATGGTATTCCTTAAATATTTTAATATATATTTAATATATAATCATTGTCCACTTGGATGGAGTGAGAGTCAGTTCCAAAGTGAAAATTTCCCAAATGACATATATATACATTAATATATACTTTAATATAATAGGAGTTTGGGAAACCCCTAAAGCCATGAGTTCACAAAGTGCTTCACCTAGCCTGGTGCCGTAGGCATGGTAGTAGCATACAGGAAACCAAACTTAGACATAAGTGAGCTTTAATCATTCAACCCAAAAGCACTTACTAGATTCCTGCTATGTGTAGGGTATTGTGTCATGCCAGATTCTAGGATTATAACCAATGATCTGACTAGTTCAAAACCCAGCATAGTATTTCTCCAGTTGCCATTCAGAAAAGTATTATCAATATAATTGCTCACAATTGAGGGATACAGCCTGTCTAAGCCCGGGTCTGTTCTCAATTGTGTTCATGTATATATGTTAAGAGTCTGGGAAAAGTCCCTCCAGAAAGTTCCTATCATGTGGTGGCCACCATAAGATGGAGACATCCATCACTCTGGGTAAGTGTATGAGGCACAAGTCCTTATCAGGGCCACCTCAGCAGAGTACCATTGTCCAAGAAAGAGACAGGCTGTCTCCTGGTCGTGGGGTTAAGAAGAACATGAAGTTGAAAGTATTCACCTCTGCTTACCCCCTAAAAATAATAGGAGAAAGTGGAGAAAAAAAGAAGAATCAGACCACTTTGGTAAATTGTGTATGTGAACAGATTTTCAAAGACATAGCTGTCATCTCTAGAAAAAAAAACAAGAGGGTGCTTCAGGCTTTAATTGCACAGGGAGGGGACCCAGCCTGCCTGGGGATTATGTAGCTGTGAAGAGCATTCTCTCTGAGACCACTTTAATTCATTCCACAAGCTTCTTGTCATGCTGTACGCTAACGTTCCTCGTGCATTTCTGCCATAAAATATGAGGTTTTCTCGAGCCAGCTGATTTCATCATTGTCCACTTGGGTGGAGTGAGAATCAGTTCCAAAGTGAACATTTCCCAAATGACATACCCTGATGGTTCAGATGCACTTCATTATTTTCTATTAACAATGGAAATAAATTTTAATCTCTTGCTGGCTAGTGCTGGCCTCTCATGACAGCAAGGGAATTAACCTGAATTATTTCAGTGTCTGCAAAATTTATTACAAGATTTTAAATTATGTCCAAATGTATGTGCGTGTGTGTGTGTATATATATAGATACAAGACAAGTTCTTGTTTTTAATATTCTGAATATCTTAGACTCTAAGGTATCTAGAAGAGCCTTCCTATTCAACCAAATTTGCAAAATGAAAAGGATTTAATTCACAAACTCTACCACATGAAACCAGACAAGTTTGGTTGTTGTTCTTCCACATGGAGACACACACAGGTATGGACTTTCACCTACATTCACTCTACTTCTGGAAGAAGGAATGGCATTATGGAGGTGAAGATACATTTGGTACATTCAAAGCTCCAAATTTAACTTCCTTCACTGTTTTCTGATGAATGATGACAATAATGATATTATTCTCTTTGGAGAAGTTAAAGTTTCTGAATGTTTGAAGACTAAAGGAAGTGGAATGTGCATTCCAGCATCAGCTCACTCCCAGGCCTTCCCCTTCCACAGCCAACTTCTTTCCCTAGTGAGTATTTCCTGGGTCACGAAGGCTGACCTTTTCCATCTGGAATCAATCAGTCAACCCCTGACAACTTCCTGAAACACCTCACTCCATTTCCTGTTCTCTCCCCCTCTTTCTTTCCCCCTGGTTCGCTTCACTCTTGAAAACTGCAGGCCACAGCAGCTTAATGTTAGAGGGTCAGACACAGTTAGACTCCAAAACACTACACAAAGACACCTTTGACCTTCAAAAATCTTTACATCTTAGCTAAACAAATCAAGGTCAACATTTCTTACCATTACCTTGTTAACTATTTGTAGGCATCTTTGCCAACGATCTTCTGATCATATAACCATCAATACCACTTGTTCTCCTAAGATCATAAACTGATGTTTTAGAGGGTAGCAGCAAATTTAGTATTGACAAGGGGTGCCATTTGGATGTACCTGAAACTAAAAATCATGAGTATTATAACAAACATATGGAGAGTATTTCAAACAAAGGAACTTCTGTGCCTCACCATTGTCTCCCATCATCTAAACCTGATACCTAGTATTTTTTGGGCTGTCAGACTCTCTTGGCACCACCATTCTGCTGGCACAGCCCAAAACGATGCCAATTAGGAATACAGATGTCCACAGTTTGTGAAGGATGGATCCCCGGATTTTGCTGCTGACACTGGTGACAGCTTTCATTTGTTTCTCATAGTTGGTGTATCTGTGTTTCAGCTCCAAGCTCCAATAGGAAAGCCCGCAGAGTTGAAAATCATGCCATTGTATTTTATAGCTCTCTTCAACCGATACACTTCAATTCAACACAAAAGCAACAACCAATTATATTCATGCAAATATTCTATATGACATCGTAACTTTAAGCCAAACTTCCAAGAAAGAGAAGTAAGGATCAATTGGAATTGCTTGCTTTTTTTTTTTTTTTTTTTTAAGTGAAGGTAGTTTTTCACTTTTTGCAATTCCTTATTTTGCTTAGTGTGATCTCTAAATTTTGGTGAGGCCAGATCAATAAACAGACCAACTCAAGAGGAACAGTGTAGATTCCA